TCTAGAAAAAACATAGTGCTTGCGCTGTGACTGCCTCTTTGAGGAAAAAATCAGGCAATTGAAGCAGGATAACAATCACTTACCTTTGAAGAAGGGAGACTGGATATGCAATATGTAATGACTGTTAATAGAGTCCAGTTTCTTTGTGAGGTCTTTGTTGTTGTCCTTTGTGTGCATTTTTAAAATTAACATTGCTTTTGGTATATTTAAAAAGATTTTTAATATGATTTTAAAAACCATTAAATACGTTTACATCGATGTGTATTTTAACGGCACAGTATAAGAAAAACACAAAAAAAAAAAAAATCATTAGATAATCCAAATTCTAGTATCATGTAGGTTTGTTTAGCACTGGTATTCAATTTAAAATTAAAATCAATTTGGGATTTCGCAGATGCAATTTCCTCAATTTTGCAAAGACATACAAGATGTTTGCAAGTGCAAAGGAGGGCTTCCAATCGTCACCTTAATCCTGGTGAATGGGAAGGTGACTCGTGGGCTCTTTTAACCTTACTGTTATTTTGTTTTCAGTTATATGCCAGAATGAACAGTTTTTTTTATTTACTTGCTATTGACGAACTTGACTGGTTCCGTTGCTTGTAGGTGCAATTACATCAATTCAAGGCGAGCAGAAACATGGTTTGCCTGAAAGTGTGACCAAGACGGCCTTATTGTATCAAGGGCGTCAAATTTTCTCTTCCAACCTCAGCAAAGAAGACATAGATCACCCATAAGATTGGCAAATTTGGTTCTGGTGCACATCAGGGTAATAGAAGTGGTGAAAGAAAGAATAGGAACATAGGTTCACATATGTGGAGATTTGTAGAGGACAAGAGTGAAAATCACAAGCTCGTAAATAAATCTATTGACCCTTCTGAATTTATAGATTTTCCTATTGTTGGAGGTAAGACTCAGCTGTCTGAGGTAACAAAGGGAGAGAAGAACACAAGACTGAGTTGCCAAATCAGTGGAGAAGGCCTCCGTGGCAAAGTGAAAACTGATGATGAGTGAGTTTTGTTCTTCAGATAACCACAGTACTGATGATGGGGGTTTTGTTCTGCCATATATCAGAGTGCTGCATGATGAAGAAATGACGAATGGTCGGAAAAGGGAAGAGAAAGGTAGGATTCTAGAATAGTAATCGATGACAATGACATACACTCGATGACAATGACGTACACTTTAGTTATTCGTTTAGAAAGAGGGCTTTATTCATATGTTTTTATATTTGAGAGAAGCATGAAAGTTTTAAGTTCCAGAAAATATGTAAAATATTTGAGGAGGCCTTTATAATTTTTGTTCTGTAAGGATATGTTGATTGTAATAACTTTTTACGGAGTTATGATTAGGGTTTGTTGCTGTTTTTCAGTATTTTCAAACTAATCTTTTGTAAATAAGGGTTATAAATACCTTCTTGACCTTTGATGATAAATGCAAGTAGAAATATTAAGTTCACATTGAGTTGTATTATAAATTATCCTTACCTTTGATGAGAATCAATATGGCTGAAACTGTTACCACATAAAAACATTGATATACAATTAGAATGTTAGATTTATTTTTTATACTTGAATTACTCAAAAGTCTTAAAAGGTAATTTAATTTTATAAAAAATTTGAAATGTTTTATCATAAAATATATGATGTGAATAGAATTTTTCTTTTCAAACATATTGACATTTTAAAAATTTATGAGATAAATTTGATTATTTAAAATTATAAAATTTCAAATTTTACTTAAAAATTAAGAATTTTAAATTGTTCTTACTCTTTTCTTTCTTAGGTTGTGTTTGTATCAAATTATTTACTGTTGAAAGAGATTTTGAAAGACGAATTTGCAAGTAAGTATCGTGTGAAGACACAATATTCAAGACTAAAGAGTTCAGTCTAACGAATATTTTTAGCCTTTAAACAGAAGATCATTCAAAGACAGAATCAAGAAGATAACTTATAATAAAAATATCATCTTATGAAAAACGTTTAGAAGAAAAGCACAGAGAAGACCAAGCTCAAAGAGAATATATGACAAGAGAAAGAGAAAAAGTCAAGCAATACTCTCAAACTTCATTGTAATATTTGTTTACTGTTATAATAAGAGAGAAAAAAGAAAAGAAAGAAACACCTAACAAGTCTATAGACTGTATTGTATTGAACAAATATCATCTCTGAAAATAGTAATCGTCTAAACAACTTGTAACCAATTAGTTTATTGCAATTCTGAAGAGAATTAAAACACTTGATGTATAACTCAGGCGAGTTAAGAAAATCTAGGCAGCGTATCAGAGGATACTAAGATTGTCTAGTACCAGGAGTGGCTGAAACTCAACTAGTCTAGGGTATCAAGAGTTATTCACTGATTATGAATACCAGGAGAGATGAAGAATATTGCACATCCAAGAGTGGGTTAAACTCAACTAGGCAGCGTATCAGGAGATACCAAGAGTGCCTAGGGATATCAAGAGTGTCGAGAATATTCAATTGTAATCTTGTTGAAAATTATAGTGGAACTCTTTAAGGATAGAGGAGACTGGACGTAGCTCAGTTGGAGTGGACCAGTATAAAAGTATCTGTGCATTTATTGTTTACTTTTGTCTCAATGCTTCTCTTATAAAACCTGCAATTGCATCTTAGTTTTGAATACAAGAGCTTCCCATACTAAACGATTATTCATTAAAAGAAAGTTCTTATAAACACTATAGTGAATATTCTGAATAGCACGTGAAAAGAATTTATTGTTTAAAATCATTTACAATTTCGAGCGTTTAACAACTACTTCAAAAATCATGTTGTCTTCGCAAATCCTAATATGGCCTAAAACAGTCTCCTATGACCTGGTTTGGAAAATTTAGTAACATTGTTCAACAATTTGGTATGACTCGGTGTGAAGCAAATCATTCAGTTTTTTATCATCACTTAAGTGTTGAATGTGTCTACTTGATAGTATATGTTAATGACATCGTTCTTACCAGTTGTGATAGATATGGCATCTCTCAGATAAAATAATGTCTTTGCAACCATTTTCAGATCAAAGATCTTTACAAACTTAGATATTTCTTGGGTATTGAGGTTGCACAATCCAACAATGGTATTGTTATATCTCAAAGGAAGTATGCATTAGATATTTTTAAGGAAATTAGGTTGATGAATTCAAAATATGTTGACACATTCATAGATCCTAAGACTAAACTTCTACCAAAATAGGGGAAGCCTATGTCAGACCCTAGAGAAATATAGAAAACTAGTTGAAAAATTGAATTATTGTACAGTTACTCCTCTTGACATTTTCTTTATCTTTAGTGTGGTAAGCAAATTCCTTAATTCCCTGGGAGAAGATCATTAGAATGCACTTATCCATATATTAAAATACATTAAAGGATCTAAAAGAGGTTGTTATATGGTTCTAACAACCATACAAAAGTGGTTTGTTATTCAAATGTTGATTAGATAAGATCTTCTTATAGAAGGTCTACATCCAAATATTGTGTCTCCATTGATGGTAACTTGATCTCTAAGAAAAGTAAGAAATAGAGTGTTGTGACAAGATCTAGTGCAGAAGCATAATATAGAGCTATAGCCTCAATCACTTGTGAATTTGTTTGGCTTAAGTAATTTCTTATAAGGTTACAATGTGGAGATATCACTTATGTGACAATCAAGTTGTTCTTCACATTAGTTCTAATAATATCTTTCATGATAAGACCAAACACATTGAGATTGAATATCATTTCATTAGAAAAAAAGATTATATCTAGAGATATCAAGACTGAGTTTGTTAATTCAAGTAATCAGTTAGCAAATATTTTCACTAAGTTTTTTTGGGAGCTTACAATTGTAACAAGTTTGATACATACGATATGTACCAGCTTGAGGAGGAGTGTTTGATATATTATTTTTATCTTTTATCTTTAGTTAATTAGCTATTATTTCTTATTTGTTTTTTTGAACTTAATCCATATTTTTTCTATTATAAATAGAGTATCTATATGTATATTCAACACAAAGAAGATTAATCCAAGTTTTTCACTATATTCAATAGAATGTATTGCAAACAAAATCTTGTTCTGAAAAACTCAGTCTAAAACAAATATTATGGAAAACTTGTTAAAAATTTATGAAAAACTCATTCAAAAAAATTGTGAAAATTTTGTTTTAGAAAACTTATTTCAGAAATGTGATTCATGTGGTTTTTAAAATTAAATTATATTTGTTCTTACAAGGCCAAATAGACTTTATAAAACCAACAGATGTGATTTTTTCCATCGTCTTTGTCTTTGCCTTCGGACAACTAGTTTTCGTCTTTTCAGTCTCAGTTGTTAGTTTTGGGTGGTGAGGTGAATGTAAGGATACTTCAACGTTTCAGTTCGTATTGTATCAATAGTTTGTTCTTGGACGAGTATCTAGTTTAGAGAAAAACTCATCCTTTACCTTGGATTTTTTCCCTTTAGGTGGTAGTTAAGGAGAGTCCAGATATCGTGATTTAAGAACTTTGTTTTGTGCATAATCCTATATTTAATTATTTTAAGCGTCAATTGATTTCTCTTACATGTGGGATGAGAGGAGTTTCGTGAGGTTGAGGATGTAATTTATAATCAGAGGCCAAAGAACCAAGGTCTAAGACTAAGGGAACTACAGAGACCTAGGTACCATGAACAAGAAAAGATTATATATGGTAACTGAGGGAGAAAGAAACTATGGTTCAATTCATCAACCACGTTTAACACGTTACTTCGAAACAAATATATGCATAAAACGCATCATATCAGATTAATGAACGCTTTTGAAATAAGTAGTTAAAAGTTTATAACATTGACATATATAAACGATAATAGGGTGGTAGTGGGGGTGTTATGACTTCCTGAAGAAATTGGTCAATGATTTCCATCCAAACTCTTTCTTGAAAGAACCGTGTCAAAATATTGAAGCTGAGAGTCCCCTATAAAGGTGGTTGCTTGGTTTCTCTTCTGATGTCAGCTCCGGCAATGGTCCAAAAAATCTCTACCCTTATCACTTGGTTAGGAAAACAGCAACTGACACTCTTGCCCTCATCAGAATGATTGGCTAACACTCGATGATTAGCACTCCTGTATGCTTCGTTAGAAATTATCTGACACAAAATCATGAATATCAGAGAAAGGAATCCCTGCATATATATAACTTCTAACCTTCTCAAATTTAATATAAACAAATTTCTTACAGTGATTTTGTAATAATAGATAAGATTTCAAACTACATCAAAAAAAAATTATTACACTCAAGATTATATAAACCGAAATATATTTATCTCCTATAAACATACTAAGATTTATTATAATCAAGTTAAAATAAAAACATATTAAAGATGGTTAATAAATTAATATACTTAATAATTATTTATACTATTGTTATTGTTATTAATTATTATTATTATTACGATACCTGAAGGAAATCTCCAATGTTAATAACCAGGGCTTGGGCTGAGGCTTGACATGGATCCACCCCTGTTCCGTCTCAACCTGCAAACCCCCAATGTGGTCCTGCAGCAACACCGTAAGAGCCCCTGGTCGGCATGCGAATTAAGTCCCACCGTTAGATCAGGCTGAGGGCAAAACGGGTAATAATGCCCCACCATAACTCTTCCTTCCCACAAACCCATCTCATTGAGCTTCTCCGCACCAATCCCAGCCCCTCACTCAGCAACTCGTCAACACACGTGAAACACGCACACTTCCTTATCCCATTCCAGCAAATCTTCTCTGCACACCTCGGGAATCTCGCTAGAGTCAGCTGCTGGGGGCCCATCCTAATCTGCAAAATAAAAATCAAAACTCACAATTTTCATTACTTTCGTGCAATGATTTCATACATTAAGGCTTAATATCATTTTTTTTTAAATATCGTCATAAGTTCAATTCATCTTTTTTTTAAGAAGACATTTAAATCTTTAACGACAAATATATTCAAATGTACAATCAAAGAGTGAAATGTGAGTCCTTAAGGGATGTGAGGTGAATTTATTATTTTTGAAATTCTATTCCTGTATTAGGATTTTTCTTGAATTAATTAAGGGTTTTGAGGTCTGAAGGGTTTTGAGGTCTGAAGGGTTTTGAGGTCTGAAGGGTTTTGAGGTCTGAAGGGTTTTGAGGTCTGAAGGGTTTTGAAGTCTGAAGGGTTTTGAGGTCTGAAGGGTTGATCGTGGTTTAGGAGGAAAATCTGCAAGATTGGGAAGAACATCAGTTATTTGGGGAATTCTGGGTTTCTTCTCTGTTTTGCAAGTGGTTAGGGATTTTGTTCTGGATTTTGCAACTGGGGATGAGGTTCAAATTGGGAGAATGTTAGGGTTTCGGAACTTGAAATTTTCTTTGGAGTATGTATCTAATTTGTTCTTTTGAA